ATGAAGGCTGGGCGGTTGGAAGGGCTACCACAGCCTCTTGTGTTTGGCCGGTTTGTGGTACCTCGGCCTGAATTGTTTCGGTAATGAGGGCCCTAACAGCTCTCTTTTTGGCCATCTCTTGTTCTGTAGTTAATGGAATCAAATTGATTTGAGGAAGTGTTGGATCTGGTTCTAGTGAGGGTTCCAAGAAGAAGTTTGTCACCCTGGTCTTCCTCCTGCTGCTATATCTGTAGGTCGGTTCGAAATTAGGTAGCTCGGCCCAACTTCGATTGGGATATCTTAGTGCGGCGCGGAGTACGTCAAGGTTGGGATAACTGTACTGCGACTTTAGATGGTCTAAGTCTGCATAAAAGAAGGCAATGATTAACATGGTTGAAAATGAGGATAACGAAGTAAAGAAAGTGCAAAACTGAGCCGAGGTATTTATACCGGCTACTCCATTATTCCAGTTGATTCAGTCTCCTAGTATTTGGGCTTCTTGGTCTTCGAAGTTGTCCAAGACCTAGAAAAAATCGTCATCGTTTACATCTTTGTTCGGGGTATTTTTTATTATTTTCTCTTGGCAGCGTCTTATTCTTAGATAATAAACCCAGCCATCTTCGTTCTGGCCTAGAGAGTACTAGTGGAATAGCTCGGCTAAACCGAGGTTTAGGCCAAGCCTGCGATTTAGCTCGGCGATGCCATTTATTATTCAGTAAGAATTGGTGGAAAGTTGGGTAGGGCAGAGATTTGTTTGTCTGAGGAATTCACAAAGAAGAGGCTAAATGGAAAAACGAAGGTTGGCCTCTACAATGGAAATAACGTTGAAAGGGACGAAGCCTGGTTTTCCCCAAGGGATGGTGTCTAGTTCGGCTAGTGAGAGGTGGACGTCGTTTGGAATTTGGTAATCCTTTTGGAACTCGACTATGGCCCCTAGAGAGTTCACTAAAAATCGATACTTCTCCATGTGGCCTTAAATTACGTATAATTTAGCTCAGTGTTGAGATGACCTTCAGTATCTCGGTTGAGCGTGTAAAGGTGTGCCTAGCCAACCTAAGTCTGCAAAGTGCAAAGGAAAAGTGTTAAGCACAAATCAATGGACTGTGCTAAAAGTAACAAAAGGTAAAATAAATTTGTCTTAGCTCGGCTACGTAGGAAACTATCCATTGTTAGCCCGGTTTGAGCGAGGGACTTTAACCCGGTTAAGCAAATAAGAAGTTGGTAGCCCGGTTGAAGCTTATGGTGCAACATTATTAGTTGGGTTTTGACTAAGTGAGGGAGCTAGTTTGGCCCCAAGTTATAGCTCAGTCGGTGGTTGAAGCTTTCTAGCGCGGTATTGCGCAAACCTAATACAGCTCATTACCTTGGCTAAATGAAATAAAAGGTACGCGTTTCTATTGAAACTACAAGTATGGCATGAAGTTTTAGTTCGGTTGTTTAGTTTGACTAGGTTTGCACCTAATACAAACAACTTCCTAGTTCGGTTAAAGTTTTATTTTGGATCAAAAGCATTGTTTCCTAGATTGTTCATGAATCTAGTGGATCTACTACATGGTTCTTGAGCAAAAATGGCCATATCCCATGGAAACTAGAAAGTGTATTGAGAAACATACATAATATGCTATGTATTACAAAATAGTACGAAACAAACGGAAAGGAAACAGATTTGAGCCACATACCAGTCAAGAATGGAGGAACTGAAGATGGAAACAATATCAGCAAAAGTATGAGATTCGCAGGCACTGTAGTTGCAAGAATAGAGACTCAGGGGAAAAGAGAGAGGGAAGATGAATAGTAGAAATGAATGGTTCAAAACATATGGTTTTGGGGTAAAGAGAGTGAAAAAGGGCGAGATTGTTCAAAATTCGCGAGATACGAAGTCGGCGTTGATGGCTGTACTCAACCAATAGGGGCCAGCCACGTGTCTATGGGATAGCAAGCGATTCAGATGACAGCGTGACTGAAGAGACATTTTTTGACCGAACCAATTGGTAGCCCAGCAGCATTTTAGCTCGGTTGAAAGGCAAAAGTTTTTAGCTCAGTTGGTAACGGGTAATCCCAATCATGCTGCGCAGATTTGAGAAACATACATAATATGCTATGTATTACAAAATAGTACGAAACAAACGGAAAGGAAACAGATTTGAGCCACATACCAGTCAAGAATGGAGGAACTGAAGATGGAAACAATATCAGCAAAAGTATGAGATTCGCAGGCACTGTAGTTGCAAGAATAGAGACTCAGGGGAAAAGAGAGAGGGAAGATGAATAGTAGAAATGAATGGTTCAAAACATATGGTTTTGGGGTAAAGAGAGTGAAAAAGGACGGGACTGTTCAAAATTCGCGAGATACGAAGTCGGCGTTGATGGCTGTACTCAACCAATAGGGGCCAGCCACGTGTTTATGGGATAGCAAGCGATTCAGATGACAGCGTGACTGAAGAGACGTTTTTTGACCGAACCAATTGGTAGCCCAGCAGCATTTTAGCTCGGTTGAAAGGCAAAAGTCTTTAGCTAAGTTGGTAACGGGTAATCCCAATCATGCTGCGCAGATGGAATTAAGGGTCAATTGAGAGGGTCATTTATGAGTAAATTGGGCCGAGCTGGGTAATGGGCCGCTCCGTGGGCCGCGGTAAAAAGGGCCCAGTGAAAGGACCTTGCAGTTAGCTCGGTCCAATTGTGGTTGTGGTTACCACAGTCAGTATGGTAATATTTAGCTCGACTATGGTATTCAGAACTGAGGTATTTGGGTTTCTTGTGACGGACCTTACTCTCGTTAGCTCAGTCTAAGCTTACTGCGGTTAGCTCGGTCTCAGCGGACCAAACCAAGGTACAAGCAATGAAGGGAAGAACCGAGCTAGTTGGAGCTCGGTCATTTCTGCCACTTTAGCATGGCCATGTTAGCTCGATCGTTTTGTCATACTACCGAAGAAAAACCATCTCACTTAGTTTAAGCAGTAAGGGGGGTGTTGAAGGATAAACATTATCTTTCAGGAGTGTGATTCCTAGTAGGACTCTTAGGAGAACTCTACATGGAGGAATAAGAGTCCTACTAGGATTGTGCTACACGGAACCTATAAAAACTCACATCACCTATGGAGAGGTAACACAACTTTGACTTTCGGAATATACAAAGCTTTTGTCTATTTGTCTATTTTGCTGACTTAGGCATCGGAGAGGTATCCGGCACACACCCGCCGGCTAGCTCACGTTTGTGTTTTCAGGGAGTAAAGCGACGACGTACGGAGGAGCGCAAACTTGATCAACAGGATTATACGAGAACATTATTTCTTACTCGTACAATTGGCGCCGTCTGTGAGAATAAGATGAAAACTCTTAATCTTTATTTATATAGCATTTACATAATTTTTTTTAATGAGTTTCAAAAAAATATATAGGTAAACGAATATTCCAACAAACTCGTCTTCATCCCGACAAATATGCTGGCGGACACATATAATTGTTGGTTATTTTAATAAAAAAAATATATAGGCCTATTTTGGAAAGATGATAAAAAGTAATTTTTTGACTTTTAACTAAACTTTTAATTTTTTTAGACAAATGATTTGCGAAGTTAGTAAAAAGTTACTTTTGACTTTTTTAATTAATATTTGTTTACGATGTCAAATCACAATAAAATGACCAAATTACCCCCATTAATTAAAATATTTACAACTTCACTCATATAGTACATTTTGACTAATGAGGAGTAGAATTGTAATTTCACTAGTAGCTAAAAATCAACTTTCCAAATGAAAAAAAAATGTAAAATGCTACAAGCTAAAAAAAATAACTAAAAGCCAACTTTCCAAACTAGCCATGTGGAAAAATAATTAATAGTCATGTGGAAAAATAAGACGTTAAAAAAAAAAAAGACAAAATAAGAAAAGTTGCAGTGTCAAAATATAATAAAATAAAAAGAAGAGAACATTGATATAGAAATTAGAAAGGTAGAGAGACAAAAATAAATAAATAAATAAATAAATAAAAACAAAAGTATAGCTGTTTGTTATTAGAATAATACTAGGGATCATGAAAAATATATTATAAAATGCTTTATGAAGATTTTTTTATTATTTGATTAGTGTGGTGTTTTATTATTTGTGTAATCTAAGGGTGAAATTTTTTTTATAATTATCTTCATGATCCCTAACATTACTCTTGATATTATAATATACATTTTATCTTTATGATCGAGACCCTACCCCAACAAGACCTTCATAAATTTAGATTACTCATAACGTGGATCTCACACATATAAGTGGACCCTGTACATACATAGAAGGTTAGGATCACTTTAGAGGTATGTGGGTCATCCCCAAAAAGGGTCCTAAACATTTTTTTTTTGTATAATTATGACATAATAGGAAGTTGGTCATCAGTAAAGAATGTTTTAAAAAGATGATTAAAAGTTAACTTTTAACTTTAAGTTTTTTGATTTTTTAAAAAATAATTTGAAAAGTTAATAAAAAATTACTTTTATCTTTTTTAATTAATATTTATTTATAATATCACATCACAAGATCAAAATTACCCCCATCCAATTTTAAAAATTTACAATTTCACTTAGGTGGTTCATTTTGATCCATGAAAGGTGTAGTTGTAATTTCACTAATAGCTTTTTTGTTTATTCCTTCCCAAATGATTTTAATGGTAAAAAGCCATTTTGGAAAGAGTTGCAAAACGCAACTTTTTTTTGCAAGTTGCCAAAAGGCCACTGAGTCAAAGGGTTTTTGGTGCAATAATTGAAGTTCTTTATAATTATTAGTTTTTTCATTTTGAAATATGTATCAAATTATTTTGGCGTAATTTTTATTTTCAATTTATGAAATAAAAATAACTAAAATAAATTTTTTTTAAAAAAACAAAAAAAAACTAATAAATGACCCATATGGGCGCATATATATATCACAAGCAAAGTAGCTTCCGGACAAATAAAATATAGAGCCTAATTGATATAATTTCTAACAAGTTAAAAATTAATAATAAAAAAACTAAGACTAAAAATACCTCTCTCTACATGCTTCTCAATAATAAGATTTTATTTAAACTAATTTTGTCTCATAAGTAGTATACAAAAATTACACCAAATACTTTACCACATATAGCCTCTCGGTATGCAAAAATATTTCAATTCCAAAATGAGGTAAAGTTAAACTAGTGCCTAGTGATAAGTTGAGAGTTAATACGAAGTGGACGCAGACAAAACATGTAATTCAAACTAATAATACAAGTGGTGTTAAAAAAAAAAAAAAAAAAAAAAACTAATAATACAAGTACTACAAAATGCACCTATAAAAAAATAAAAATAAAATTTTTCTGGGAAATGTTCGAAAGATCATTGGAAAAAGAAATGAGATCCGATCTGCACTATTCGATTCAATCATGACCTGCTAACACCACTGCTGCAACTCTCTTCAATGATTCAGAGGCCTTGAGCAGATCAGATTCGGAATGAGAAGCTGAGACAAATAATCTGATTCCCACAGGTAGACGGCATTTATCAAGCATTGATCTTTTGGAAGTCACAACAAAGACTGAGTCTTCCTTCAATACCTGCAAGTGCACAAACATTAAGACCTTGAGGTTGTGTAGGCAAGTCATCATGATGCTATACAATATATACATAACCTGAAAATGGTTTTCCCAAAACCAAAGTTATAAACCAACTCGCGCATCGCCAAAACTCATTTCCTCTAGTTGCAATTTCACAAAAATGAGCCAAAGGCCCAATTTTCCAACTCACACAAATCATTCCATCAGAATGTGTAACCAGTAACTCACATTGACTTGCCAAAAAGTAGGAGCGAAAGAAATCTGAGAACAACTGGATTACCTGCTCAGCAATATGTTCAAGCAATTGTGAGTCGCTCTTCAAGGATCCTGTGGAGTTCTTGAGTCTGAGGAAGACGATTGGGGATTTCACGTCACTCACAATCTTGAGGCCGTGTATATTTGACAATCCTGCAATTGCCAATATAAGAGACAAATTGCTAAGACCAATCAGATAGAAACAATTTAGTTCTGTTGTTCTATTTTGACTGAAAGGTGAAAGCCACACATACCCCTGAATTGGTAACCAACACCTTCGGCAACACTTGAAAGAGCTAGCAAAGATGCAGGATAAAGGAGAGCTAGTACCACAAACACCTACTGTTTGGTAACATTGACTGTTTGTTGTATTTTATTTACACACAACATTAAGCATGTTTGTTATATATATATATATTTTTTGGTAAGAATGAAGGTAAAAAAAACATGTTTGGTACAAGTGAGGGGTGGCCGGAGGGCGTCAGAGTTGGAGGGGGACTCGCCAGAGATGGTGATCAATGGGGCCAGAGGTGGAAGGGGAACAAGCCGGAGGTGGTGGCTAGCAGCCAAAAGTAGTGGCCGGCGACTTGGGTGGTGGCCGGATGGGTCGCCAGCAGTATTGATAGGCTGTGGGTGGTGGCAGGAGGAGGTGGGGAAGGGAGGAAGGAATGAAACCTTGTTTCAAAACAAATAAAAATACCTTTTTTTATGTTTATAGAATTTAGTAAATTTTTGTAAACTAATTGGTAACCAACACCTTCAGCAACACTTTAAAGAGCTAGCAAAGATGCAGGATAAAGGAGAGCTAGTACCACAAACACCTACTGTTTAGTAGCATTGACTATTTGTTGTTTTTTATTCACACGCAACATTAAGCATGTTTGTTATTTATTTATTTATTTTGGTAAGAATGAAGGTAAAAAAAACATGTTTGGTACACATGTTTTCATAAGCTTGTTTTTAAAAACAAGTGAGGGGTGGCCGGAGGGTCAGAGGTGGAGGGGCTCACCAGAGATGGTGGTCAATGGGGCCAGAGGTGGAAGGGGGACAAGCTGGAGGTCGTGGCCGACAGCCAAAAGTAGTGGCCGGCAACTTGGGTGGTGGCCGGATGGGTCACCGACAGTATTGATAGGCTGTGAGTGGTGGCAGGAGGAGGTGGGGAAGGGAGGAAGGAAAGAAACCTTGTTTCAAAACAAATAAAAACTTTTTTATGTGTAAAGAATTTAGTAACTTTACGTAAACTAATTGATTTTTATTTATTTATTTATTTTTTAAATGAAAACAAACGCCAAACAAGTTTTTATTTCCAATTTTCAATTTTTTTGCAAACATAAGCAGAAAATTGTAAACATAAACGTTATCAACCAGATTAACATTTTTCTTGTGCTTTCTTTAGCTGCAATGGTTGATTTACATAACCTCTAAGCATCACATGTGCAACTAGACTAAGAGGTCCATGCATCCAACAAATTGATCAATATATCAGTGACGCTGACTCATCTGATGCCAATGGAGCTACAAGATTTTCCAGAGTCACTTTGAGATGGTAACATAGGCAGTTTATAAGTGATCTCAAGTTGAGGATAGCTGACACCTCAACCATATCCCCAACGAGTACCTAGCACTTGGATATAGATTAAAAGAGAGTGAAAATAAAACAAACCTTTGTGTAGTACAGCAATATTTTTGTCCAGTTTCGTAGTAAGATCAGGATTTTCCTCCAGAACATCAATAGCAGTAATAGCAGCAGTTGCAAGATACGGCAGCAAGGAGGCAGAGAAGACATAACCAGAACTACTGAGACGCTGCAAACATGTAACATATCATCAACAATTAAGAATAGAAAACTAGGAAAAAAGAGCACTAATATCAATCAGTAAATAAACAACTACATAGAAAAGGAATTCGGACTATAAAAAAAAATTCTTCCAAACAAGGTTCCCTTTTCAAGTGGTGGTAATTTCATACTTGATGAGCAGTGACTCTAACGCTTCCTACGCAGAATCCTCCTTCTGTGGCCAATGAATGTCCCATGGCAGCAGTTATGATATCTACCTTCTCAATCTACACAACCAAGTACCAACACCATCATAAAACCACAAATTGAGAATTAATGAACTGACTAAATCTAAAATATCTTCAAAACATACCGGAACCCCATAGTGCTCGGTGATACCTCTTCCGGAATTGCCAAGCACACCAAAAGAGTTGCTCTCATCCAATAAGACACGGAAATGATATTTCTCCTTCAATCGGATGATCTCATCTAATGGAGCAATTTGACCTGAATTCTGCAAATTGAAAAAATCTGTCAAAACATTAACATTTCCCAATCCTGCACAGGAAACAGAAATGCAGGGTATACATGATAATATGGTATTAGTAAATAAGCAAACTGCTAATTGTCAATGCTAGTCTGATGAAAGCTACAAGATATGTTATCAACATAGTAAAATTAAAGCATAATTGCTAAAAGATACCTGGTACACAGCTTCAACCACAATATAGCGCCTTAGCTTCGTAGCTCGCTTATTTTCTGCAGTAACTTTCTCCAGAGTACTTTGTAGAGACACCATGTCATTGTGCTTGAAATACACAATTGTACTTCTGGAAAGATAAAGGCCATTTTGTATTCCCCAGTGGACACCCTCATCCCTAAAAAATTCCCACCCCCAGCCCAAATAAATAAATCAATAAGAAAAGCTATAAAATAGAGAAAAAAAATTAACCTGATCTACATGGCAGATTGCTAAAGCCAAATCAATGCCAATTTTAAGGGACCCGAATAAATGTGCCAATAACTACTCATATCACCATGTATATGCATAAATGTTTCCAAAATACAAATTAATAGAGGTTCTCAAAGCACTAAATGACAAAAAAGAGAAAGCAAATTGCCAATTGATCGTGATTGATCCAATATGGCACAACCATAGAAACCATTGATCAGCATATTTATTATAGCCAAATGGCTTATTATAAGCTCATGATATAAAATATCTGCAGCTTAAAACAAACTCAAATGATTATATTTACGTCAACAGAACACAGTCAGCTAACATGCAGTCTTTTCCCTCTTCACTCTTTTCACAATCACATTACACCAGGTAAAATTAGTCGAGAAAAGATATAAAAGCAATAACATATCATTATGTTTTCATATAACAATATTGGCACTTTCAACGACTAACTAAAATAAAATATAGACAACCAGTGAACAATACTTGTCATGCATTCTTCAATAGTAACCTTTGTAGGAAAGTCCTTGTAGCCTTAGAAGATTTATGCCATACCAAATGAAAATCAATAATTAAACAGTCAAGATAATACTCACGCAACAATAATATCCCCCTTCTTAGAAAAAGCTGGAATTGCACTGAATATGGTGGAAAGTCCATAAGAATATAATATGCAATCAGGAGTTCCCAAAAACTTAGCGATTCTGGCTTCACAATCAAGGTGGACATCTATGCAAAATAACATTGTTAGAACGGTAATCATTTTCATGCACAAGTCAAGGAGATAATTCAATTTAGTTAATACACTAAGCTACAAAATTACGAGCTAATATCAGGTTATACCAAGTGTTCCATAAAATCCACGAGCACTACAAGAGCCAACACCATATTTCTCCAGTGTAGAAGTACATGACCCCTGTTATACAAAACTTCTGTAAGTTGATACTGAAATCAGACTAATATGATATAGGGAAAATTACGAATAGGAAGAACAGGTTCTCACAATTAACTTCTCATGTCCAACAAATCCAAGGTAATTTGCTGAAGCAAAGTTCACAACTTCTTTGCCATTGATTATTGTATGTGGCCCTGCAGCACTGTGTAACATGAAACCAATGAGCAAGAATGTCCTTGCAATAGTGACAAATCTCTTTTTGATACATATTTAAGAATTTCAATATTGATTGGATCTTAAAGTATACGTGGTGATTAAAAAGGAAGATTTTACCCATACTCAAAATAATGAACACCTACATGAAAGTGGCTAACCAACCTAACCGAGGAAAAACTAAAAAAAGGTAAAAAAAACTCAAGGCAACATATAATAATTCTTGCAAATAAATTATGCAAGAGTTGGATAGTGCATGAAAAAGAAATAAGTGTAGGACCAAGCAAGAAACACATTTACATAAAGCGTGGAGCCCCACACAAGCCAATTTTGGTTTATATATAAATCTAAAATTAGAAAACTCAACATTTTACAAGCATAACTTCGAGAACATTTCGATAGAATTCAGAGGTTAAGGAAATAATAAAATAAAGACAAACTAAAACTAATTTTACCTTTCCAATACTGGAGGCTCATATCGCATCTCTTCTGTAATTGGAGGTATAAGAGATTCTGGAACCCATTCATCACATAGCTCATCTATTTCCTAGAAAAACCAAGCAAACACTTGAAAAATGTTAGGTTGTCAAATTGTTTATGGTACAAGAGCTACTATCTTGAAAGAAAGGCACATAAAAGACTCATAATAGTAGTTTGGGCCCTTCAGTCTTAGTTTTACATGTATACATCTTTTCAACTTCATTTACCTCGTTGCCTTTAGAAGTTAGCAAGTTCTCCTAAACTTCAGCTCAGCATGTATTTTCAATAATTTATGAATATAACTCCACCATTATTAATACTCTGTAATCCAAGGCAGAGTTGTTCTGCAATTTTCAAATTGGATAAACCCTATGTGAATGGATCAATAATTATCAATTTGTCATCATACTTGCATTTGCAAGCAAGTAAACCTTAAACAGCTGAAGATCTATCTATCTATGCCTTCCAAAGGCACCTCAATTGAGAACATGCAGTTTTCTTTCTATTTTGAGGTGGAAATAGCAGGTCCTACATTTTGTCTACATATATAGTGTGTTACTTGGTGGTGGTGGTGGTTTTTATTTTCTTTTTCTTTTTATGATCTTTCCATTACTGTAGACTATTAGTGTGATTGAGGCAAAGATGATATTTTTTTTTTTTGATAAAGAATCAAACTTTATTAGAACGCATCACGACAATGCAAATGAATACAATTGAGGTGGAAATAGCAGGTCCTACATTTTGTGTCTACATATATAGTGTGTTACTTGGTGGTGGTGGTGGTTTTTATTTTCTTTTTCTTTTTATGATCTTTCCATTACTGTAGACTATTAGTGTGATTGAGGCAAAGATGATATTTTTTTTTTTTTGATAAATAATCAAACTTTATTAGAACGCATCACGACGATGCAAATGAATACAAAAAAGAGGCCCACAAAAGGCTAAAACAAAATTAACTAATCAAATCCTCCACAAAATCAACAAAAAACAAAACATTTGGATCGACTGTGCCCTTAACCCAACTATGCAACACCATCAACAATCTACTTTCTAGCCAAGAAACGGAATGACACTTATCTTGAAATACGCGCCTATTCCGTTCCGACCAAACCAACCAAAGCAAACAATGGGAAGAAAACACCCAAGCCTTCCAGTGCCTCTTCCCCACCCTAGCCCCACCCCAACTCTGTAATACTCCCAACACAGAGGCCGATTGCACCCACACCAAGCCAAACAAAGCAACAATAAAGCCCCAAAGCCTAGACGCAATCGAACAATGAAGAAGTAAGTGATCCACCGTTTTTGCATCCCTACAACACATACAACACCAATCGACCAATACATGTTGGTGCCGAATCAAATTATCAATAGTGAGAATACGGCCCAAAATAGCTGTCCATACAAAAAAAGCCACCTTCGTTGGAGAACCCAGCGCCCAGATACACTTCCAAGGTGTTAAAATCCACCTACTCTCCACCTACTTCACCTACTCCTTACCTACTACACACTCACCCTCTTCTATATATAGGAATCATGAATCATTGTAATAGATATCAATATCAATTAATCAATAATACATCAATTTATTCACTTGCTCTCTCTCTCTCTATCAATTTTTCTTACACAAGGAAACACACCGATAGCATCCCCTGCAAACGCCCCATAAAATGAAGACACTGAGAAGACACCTTTAGACTGCCGAACATCCCACACTACAGAATCCCCCCCATCCCTCCCCTGCTGCAACCCATAAATGCAGGGCATGAAGGGATGAAATAAAATGCATATATTAAATGAACACCTGTTTGCTAGTTTTGCTCTTGACTTTGGCTTCTCTACTTACACAAAAAGAATAAGAGATGTAAGAGACATATTAACTATATACCTTAAGAATAAGAATTTTCATTAGATTTATCTGGCCCAAAAGTGTAATCAATTGAAATCCAAAGGCTAGGGAAGAAAGAGAATAGGCGTATCAACAATACAGTTGAACTAATAAATATTAGTACTATAGAGATCGAGACCTGGCATGATGACTAGTGCTACCCAGACCTAACCTTGTGGCATGGGTTCAAGTCATGTGAATTGGCCCCTCCATCCAAAACATGGAGGTAACACTACTACATACTAACTTTTCCAAGCCGTGTTGTAAGCAAGAGCCTTGGGTACTGGGTATGACCTTCAGTACTAAAAATATGTGGTTGGTAACAAACTGTTGTTATAAAAATCAACTGAGCCCTCAATAATTTTTTTTGTCCACACTTCAAACCATAAGTTTCTACCTTCTTTCCCATTTTCACTGTCTGAGAGACATCATTAGTGTCAGAAATCCAAAAAAAAAAAAAAAAAAAAATGAGAGAGAGAAAAGGAAAAGGACAGAGAAAAAGAAAGATAAACAATAATGAACAAAATATGTTTATCATAGAAAAAGTAAGTGCAAAGATTGAGATGCAACAGATTTTCTATTTTAAATGCAACAGAAATAAAAAGAGAAGAAATTGTAGAATTGTTAATCAATACAAGAAGACCACAATATTCAAGAAGACAGCAAGTTCATATGGAACAAAAAAGAATTGATTGTACCTTCTTTGTAAGGGGCCGTTTAGGAGGCTTGTAACTTTTCTGGGAAAGTAAAAACAAAATAACAACTACAAGAAGGCCCTCCACAAATAGATGCCCTTCAACCCCCCAAAAAAAATGTTACTTTTCGGATCAAAATACCACTAAATTAAGGACAAAAATAATTTCAGTTTGAAGAAATGATAGCCTACCATGGATGTGCACTCCAAAAACAAAAGCTCGAGCAAAAGGAACCTCAAATGCGAATGTCACCCAATCCAAAGTAGTGTTGACTATATCCATAAGAGCTGATTCCATTGTATTCATTGCCTCAACTATAAAACATGCAAGGCTTCAACCAATTATACACAAATAGAATTGAGTTGAAATTTAAAGAAAAAAAATTTATGAATAATTTCTTTTGGTTTAATGTAATTCAACTTGTGAAAAAAATGAATATATGACCCAATCGACAAACTTTTGTGTTAGAAAAGTAAACAAAACAAAAAATAATTAGTGCAAGAAAGAATGATTTCAAAACAAAAATACACCCACGAAACAGATTCATACTAGCCGAAAAAAGGCAACGAAAAAATCAGCATAGGTGACAAAAATGCAAAGATGCAAAGACAAAAATGCACCACAAACTTTAAGTACTGCCACAATAAAAGCAGGACACCAGCAAGGCTGCAGGTGTCGCCACACTTATGTTACCTGGAATGTGGAGCAGGAGTTAGAGGTGGAAGGGAGGTTCGAATGGGGAAAAACACACACACAGACACATACACACACACACACACACAGCAACCAAGCATAGATGATTTTGGCAGGAGACTTTTGCCTACCATATAATGCACAACATGTGGAGAGCAAATATGAAACAAGGCAAAATGTGTCTCAGGTTATAGCACTTGTTGGAGGCACAAAACTGATGCTTGGCTAGCAAAAATTTCTAAAATACATTTTTCCTCTCGTGTTGGAGTTGCTTAGACCAACATTAATAGGCATTTTGTCTAGCAAAAGTACAGAAAAAGTACATTGTGTATTTTGCCTAGCCACTTTATATTTATGTCTGTTGTGTACTGCAACAAGACTATCTATTTTAGCTAGTCATACAAACTAACTTAATTGATTTTCAACACACAAAAAAAAAAAAAAAAAAAAATCAACCAAAAAAAAAAAAATCTTATATACACAAAATAAAAATGATACCTTTTGAAAATATAAGAGCACATGCAAACTCACAAATTAACCTCAGTAAAAATTGTCTAAATTAGACCATATTCATATTAATAGATATGACTTAGGTAGTGATTGGTTCCTGGGGATGAAGTGGAATGGAATGGAATAATTATTTCATCAAAATGTTTATTTCATGTTTGGCTGAGAATAAACATTGCAAACAAATTTAAAAAAAAAAATGCAAATGGAATCATCATTCATCATGGTAAAGATCATTCCATAGAGTTTCAGGAATGACCATTCCATTCAATTCTATTTCATTCCAGTGAACCAAATATAAGGTTAGTTCCCTTCAGATTCCAGATCAGAGATAAACCATCAGATTGGTAATGGAATCAGCCTAATTGAAGCCTTCTAGAACATACCACCAAACTAAAACTACATGAACAAAAAAAGAAGATAAAAAATATGCAATTGACAACAGAAATCTCAAGCAGTCTATAAACTATTTCACAAGACTAAAAATTGAATCTTTGACATGCATTTGATCGATGATCATCATTTCACTCATGATATTCATATTCAAGCCCATATTGGTATTGGGCTTCTCTGCAATAATTTTGTTGAAATGAAATCCAAACAGAACATAAAATATAATCAAAAATAAAATAAAATACAACCGTAATAGATATTATTCAAGAATTACAATGTTTAGAGAAGACTGAGAAACTTGAATCAGAAAGAGTAAGAACAGATTGTGTGAGATCAGCAAAAAAAACCCACAAAAAACCTGATATATGATGATTATTATGATGGTCTGAGATGGAATTACCTCAGGGGCAAAGATCAGACCAAGAAGCCTCGTAAAAACTAGGATTCGATCAGAACAAGAAAGAGATGAGGAGGACACGATTTGAAATCTGTTCGAACCCAAATTCACTAATCCAAACGCGGCCTTGAGTGCCCAGGAAGAGAATGGAATGGAATGGTAATGGACAACGAACGGGGTCCAGATGGCGGCTTTTGGAACCGTTTTAAAAAGAATGAACTGGCGTATTTTGGGAAAACCGCTCGGCCGGCGGTTCAACCAGTAAACCAAAGGAACCGGTATCGGTTCAGTCGACTCCGCAACGTATCAAATTTCCGAATTAGGACAAAGTTTCAATTTCACATTCCAGTCGTCTCTCTCTCTCTTTCTCTTTCTGTCTCTCAATCCAACGATCCAGCTCACGGTACTCACTCTCTTCTTCATATCCCCTCTAATCTTTTACTATTTATTTATTTATTAATTTTAATCGATAGATTCAGATTTTAAAAATCCTTCTTTTTATTTCATTGAATTAGTTATCTTTCCGTCAATCAGTAAATTAGTCATGCAATCAACCTCTTTGTATTATTCATTACCCTCATTATGAATGTACACATATAATTACAAACAGTAATGAGTTATCTAAGTAAGATCAACTCCATTGTCACATGGATTTGCCCAAGTATTTATTGGCTTGATACAGTACAAAAAGGCCGCTTTTTTATACACTCAAAATGTTTCTCATGTTATTTTGGCACGCCTAATTCTGTCAATTTTGCTACCGTTTGATCTATTTTTCAAAAAAAAAAAAAAACAAACATATAGTGGTCACAATTGGTGTGGAAAATTTGACAAAACCAAATCTTATGCCTTTTGACAAATTTTGGCTGAAAATTTGGGACACCATTGGAAGGCATTTTTTATAATTATTGTACGGGGAGGAAATAATTCTCCTCGTATAATCCTGTTGACCAAGTCCACGCTCCTCCGTACGACGTCGCTTTGTCACCTGAAAACACAAACGTGAGCTAGCCGGCGGGTGTGTGCCGGAAACCTCTCCGATGCCTAAGTCAGAAAACTTGACAAATAGACAAAGCTCTAAGTTCTCAGAAAGATTGTGTTCAATTACCTCCTCCAAGGTGTTGCTTGTGAGCTTTTATAAGTTTCGTATGGCACAATCCTAGTAGGACTTGTACTTCTCCATGCAGAGTCCTCCTAGGATTCATTCTCCTAAGGATAATGCTTATCCTTTTGCACCCTCCCCCACTGCTTAAACCAAGTGGGATGGTTTTTTATATGACCGAACTTCCACATGACCGAAGTAAAATTGGCTATACCGAGCCACAGAGGGCCGAACTATACTTAGCTCGGTCTGCTCCTCCAATTGATTACTTCGGCTGCCCTGTTGGACCTTGATGTGCTTAGTTCAAACTTCCAAGTAGCAAGTTCTGACCGTCCCAACCGCTGTATGTCACGACCGGACTAATTCTGAAACCGGTCTTCCCAGAACATACTGCGGCCGGACTAACTCTGAGACCGGCCTAACTCCGAGTTGTCTCCGGACCGGAGTGGCTTTACTCTTCCTTGGACCGGAGTAACTATTTCTTCTTTGAGCCGGAGTAAACTCACCTCCTTGGGCCGAAGTAACTTTGTCTTCCCAAGGCCGGAGTAACTTTGCCCTTCTGGGCCGGAGTATTCTGTACGGCCTTTTTACCTAGTCCACTGCGTTTTGGGCCTCAAAACCAAACTCGAAGTTCGGCCCAATTTTCCCAAAAATTACCCTCTCAATTATTATGTAGGTATATAACTAAATGGCTTTGATTTGAGGATTTGACACACCCTTAGAGTTACTCTAACCTAAATAATCTCATTTGATAATATAGTCAAAGAGTGTTCTTGTCTTTTTGGTTTAGTGGCTGGTGTTCTAGGGATTTCTTTGTTTATGTTGTTGTGCTCTATTTAAGGCCCGAAAACAGGGAACCAACTTTGTGTGCTGGTGCTATTTAAGTTTTTTTAAAAGGTTTTTTTTTTGGGGATATATATTGAATTTAATTATTGTATTTTTATTTATATATAATTTTCAATAGACGTAATTATGACGTTATAGTTTGATCCGATTATCCCAACGATTGAATTAGTAAATCGTGAATTGTAAAGTAATTGAAGTGAAGCTCAGTAGATACTAGTATGTATCAGCAGGTTGTGTCTGAAGATTCTAAAGAAGTTGAATTTTTTTATTCAGAGTCATGTTATTGCCGTTTGTTAAAATGCAAGAACCTTTGGCAAGGATGATAAGAGACTTTACGCTGGTGATTTCTTATATGCAGAGAGATAATGTTTGTGTGAATTATTCAGATTCTATGTTGGAAAATGGAAAGCTTCTGTGTTTGCTAGGAAAATTGAACAAATATTGTGTTCTAGAAGAAATAATGCAGGTTGGGAGGAGAAAGAATAATATATTAGAACTTAATTTTGGAAATATGAAAGACTGAGGAGTATTAGCAAACTAAAACTTCCATATTTTGCTTGTAGAAATGGAGAGAGAAAAAGATGACAAAGTTCTTCCAATTTTTCATCATCTTCTTCATAAAAACATGCCATGGAATCTGACATATTTTTTATATTTAACCAGATTTGGGAAAAGAAGGGGAAAAAAATAAAAACTAGAAAAAAGGAAACATCGAACCCTAATATGATACTTTGATTTAACATTGCTTAATGTGGAAAAAAAGTCAAAATTTTGGAAAAAGAAAATTGGATGAGAACATTGAGAAGCCTTTGTTGAAATATCCAGTTATAATTTTCTTTCTTTTAGACAACAGAGCTGCTTTCAACTTCACATCTGCATCCTGTAATTTTTTTTTTTTTAAATTTTTTTTCTTTTCTCCCTATCCTGTAAATTATGAGTTGCTGCTGCTATGCAGTTTTGAGAAAAGAAGATGCTGGAGAACGAGGCAAACCCTTATATCAGCAAGACAACTCGTTTGCCACGGAAACGTTTTTATCGGGCACGAGCTCACAGTAATCCACTAAGTGACTCCCACTTCCCTGTGCCTATCTCCCCTTGCCATGTCGACTATTCCCTCCATTTCCCTCAACTGTTTCCATCATCCGATCAAGTTGGCAATTCCAAGAAGATCCAATTTGCAGATATCGGCTGTGGTTTTGGAGGACTCCTAATTAGTCTTTCAACCCTATTCCCTGACATCCTAATGATCGAGATGGAGCTGAGGGACAAAGTGACGGAGTATGTCAAGGAACGGGTTTTAGCTTTGAGGGTAGCACATCCTGGTCAGTACCAAAATGTATCAGTGGTTAGAACTAATTCCATGAAATACATTCCGAATTACTTTGAGAAAGGACAGTTATCGAAGATGTTTTTCCTGTTCCCTGATCCTCACTTTAAAGAGAAGAATCATAGGCGTCGTGTGATCAGCCCACACTTGCTAGATGAATATGCTTATGTTCTTGGAGTTGGCGGGATTATATGTACAATTACGGACGTGGAAGAATTTAGGGAGTGGATGAAGGCTTGTTTGAAGGGGCACCCTATGTTTGAAGCTCTTACAGATGAAGAACTTGAAGCTGATCCAGTTGTGAAGCTCTTGAGTAGTGCCACTGAGGAAGGACAAAAGGTTGCGCGGAATGCGGGACAAACTTTCCAAGCAGTTTTTAGACGCATTGTGCTGTCTGCTTGATCTGAGTAGCGCCATACCAAAAAAAAAAATACAGAATCTTCATCCAGAATGATGTAGCTGCTTTAGGTCCCCTCATTTTAAAATCGAAAAAGCCCATCAGAATGGCTTCTATTTCCTAGAATGCCCTTGCCACATCATTTTTTAGATTAATTCTGTATAACAATTTTGTTTGTAGATCATTTTCCCTTTGATTTTGATAGACACAAGTTAGGAACTATTATGTATAATGCTCTCCAATTTTGACAGTTCATGCCAATTCTGTAGCATGGTATAGTCTAAATCAATTTTCATGTTCATCTTCTAGACTCTTGAAACTCTAATTTGCAATGCTATTTTTTATTCAACCTATTTTTAAAAATTAAATTTACTTTTTGGTAAGCAGTCTTGATTTGTGCATAATAATATTCACATGCATTTTTGTATTGCATACATATTCATCTTCATAAATATATATTTGAAACAGATGTGATTAGAGCAGAAGACAGACATATGTATATGTAATTTTCTCAATTTTCTTGTTATCGAAAAATAATTAATTTTCAAAATTTTTAACAAATATTTGGAGACTTTCAAAAGTAAACTTAAAAATCTGAAAATTTGCTAGTTGTGACAAATAATAATTCAACGAAATATCTTCTTTTGATTTTTCATTCAAGTACTTGGTGAAAATAAAGATGAAGACTAACTTAAACACGTGAATAGACTCGCGAATTTAAAACTTGCAAGATGACCATTGCAAGCAGAGCAATACTTTCAAGGAACATTCTTCTTTTCATTTTCATTATTCAAGGCATGATATTAAAAAAGAAAAAAAAAATATATATATATATATAATCTATATGAATGAATAAGATTTTTTTAGATATAATTAATTTTTGTATGTTATGTGTCTAACTCTATAATTAGTTTCTATGTTCATAACAAGTAAATATTAGATATAAATGATACCATGAGATCATATCAATTTCATTTTGTGATGAAAAATACAACATATTTGGATATGTAAGGAGATAAGACTAGTCCACTTAATCTCCATTTATGATATTTTTTGCATGGAAACAAATTTTTTTTAAATTTTTTTTATTCAACCCCTCTTTACTTACGGGATTTAAACATGTCAAGGCACATTTTTGACAGTATTAATCATGTTAATGAAACTAAGCCATTATGTACAATGCTCTTCAATTTTGACAATTCATGCCAATTATGTAGCATGGTATGGTCTAAATCAACTTTAATTTGTCATGCTATTTTTTTTGTACAATCTTTTATTTATTTATTTATTTAAATGAATTCTTTGCTAAAGCAGTCTTGATTTGTGCATAATAACATTCACTTGTATTTGTGCATTGTTGAGTTCACCCATGTGGATAGAGGTAGTCACCATTGTTGACATTGGTTGGCATGAATGCATAGTAGCCATCAAGGGTTGACAAGGGTTGACAATGGTGGGAGAGAGGCTAGGGAGATAAGCTGCGCGTAGGGAGGTGGCAAGTTAATGCTTTCATATGGGACTGGGATGGACTTTGGTCTCCATCTCCCTCTATATATTGAGTTAGCTTACAAGAGATAAGTAGAACACAACTGATTGAGTACCAGGAATACACAAGTGTGTATCTCTACAAAGGTGAGAAGAAAGAATGAGTGTAAGAGAGCAGAGAGTGTGTGAGTTGAGTGAGAGAGGTATCCTCCTCTATTGTAATATTTATTTGTTTTATTGGAAATCTCTTGTTTTCTCCATGAATGTAGGCATTGAGACCGAATCACGTAAATCTTATGTGTCATTATTGTGTAGTTTATTTTTGGTAGTTTAAGTGGGTTGGCCTTAAAACCCAACATGCATTGCATACATATTCATTTTCATAAATATAAATTTGAAGCAGATGTTGATGATGCAGTTCATCCTGGGTAGATGGGTCGGGCTGGTCCAAGCTCTTCAAGTTCCGATCCAGGCGGATGATTCCACCAGATGACCTGCAAGCAAGTCCAAAGGGAAACGGGGTAGTCCCCCAGCGAACCCTCCGGCGAGCAAATCAGTAGAGGAAGAAGGAAATATATATATATATATAGAGAGAGAGAGAGAGAGCTAGAAAAGCTTAACCTTCCTCTTATCTTCGATTCTTGCTTCTATCCTTTGGTAATCATTTCACTGTCCCTTGCGACGTGCCCCCTTCCGCCGAAAGCCTGTGCCGTAGCTTACCTTGTTCAGGGTGAGGGGGCTCTGTTCCAACGGGGAGGTGTTGTCGTAATAAATGCTGTGATGGGCTGCATTAATGGTGATGTGTTGTGGCAATAACTCTGCAGATCTTTGTCTGCTGATGTGGCCTGTGTTTCACCTGCCATGTGCCCGAATGTCATTGGCCCTCCATGCCCAGATGGCCTCCAGCTGTCCTGGGCTTTGCCAATTAAGTTATGCTACGGGGCTGTTGAAGTTGATGTGCTCTCACTTCATAAAAAAGCTTTTCAGCCTTTATTTCGAACGTTGTTTCTCTCAATCCTTGTTCCAACTCGTCCATATCCAAGTCATCCCAGTACGCAGAGTCTTTATTCTTGAAGTTAT